TTTTCAAAATCACATAAGATCATATTATAACATCGATTGAGATAAAGAATAAAATGAAATATTAAAATCAAGATATATTTTACTATGTTGCGCGAGTAAAAATCTAAAATATAATTAGCATAATCATTGAGTTCTAACAAAATATTTAGTTATTATCTTTATAAAAAATTATGCTATTAAACTTAAATTAAATTATAATAAAAAATTTAGATTAAGGAAATTACACCAAAAACAAGAATTTTTAAAAAAAGATTAATTTGACACTGATATCAATATATAATTTTTCAAAATTTTATAATATTTTCAAATTTATATTTTATTAAAAAATAAAAATATTATCACGTTCTCAAAACCATATAAAACCGTATTATATCGATATAAAAAAAATAAAACGAAATATTGAAATCGAGATGTGTCTCGATGCACTATACGAGTACCCTTCTAGTATGATTAATTACACGTTACATTAACAACATATAAACGTTTAATCATATACAACTTAAATACACCCAGATAAATATAATCATATGTGATATTAAAAACTGTTATTTTCTCTGTAAAATATTTAACTTCATATCAGTATATATCTAAAGATGGGATGAAATAAAAAAACACATCCCGAGAGAACATGAGAAAGTACAGAAAGAAAAGGTTTCAGATTCCATAATGACAAAGAAAAGAAGTCCAAAGTAATGAGAGCCGCGAAAACACGGAGCCGCTTCATTCCAAAAAAGACTTCCTTCACAAACATCACCTCACCCACCCATCCACTCATTCTTTCTCAACTTTCACTAAATTACACTTTTCGTACTTATACTTGTTGTTTATTACCAACTCTTGCATTTAAAATGAAATAATTACAAGTTCCACATTTAATTTCGAATTTGGTTTTTTTTTTTGTTTGATTGTTAAATAACCTAAAGGTATTTTGGTCTTTTTACTGAATCCCCATCGCACCCCACCCCCTGATGATCAAGCCCTTAAGCTTCTAATATTGAAGCAACATGTATGGGTGCGACGACATAAGAAAATCTATGTACGTCCATCATCTTGATATAGTATCAGTGTTAGCCTTGTCTCTATTTCTTTTGCTCCCAAACAGATTGATGAAAACATAAATGAAATTTGTGGGTTGTAGGTTTTTTTTGGAGGGCAGAGGTGTTTTTGTGTGTATATGTGTATGTGGGTATGTTTTAATGTTGTGGATGACGGGTTTTGACGAGGGTTGGATTTTTTTTTTTTTTTTTGCGTTGTGTTTGTGTGTGGGTGGTGTAGGTTTTGTGTTTGTGTGTGTGTGGGAGCGGGGGGTTGATCGGAGAAGGGGTAAGATTTTTGTGTGTGTGGGTTTTTATTAGAAAAAGGAGTTGAGGGGGAGCCGAAAGGGGGTTATATAAAAAAAATGAGTCAAAGAAACCAAATCCGAATAAAAATTGCAACCATAGTGACCAAAAGTCTAATTATTTTCTTTTAAGTACAAGAGTTGATATCAAGTAACAACCACATGGACTAAAAATGTAATTTACTCTTAGTTTAGAGTAAATTACTTTATTAGTCTTGTGGTTTACATACTATAACATCTCCCAAGTCATTTCTGAAATATATTATGAATTACAACCCTATGGTATGCATTTTATTACGTCTTTGGTCACTTGCCCTAACTTTGTCTAAAATATTTTGTTAACTCAGTTAACTTAGAGGGTACCATTTCATCTCAAATATATAAAGGTTGGTAATTATCAGAACTCATTTCTATATTAGTATTTATAAAAATTGAAACTTAATGATGTGTTTTATCTTAAGGAATTGAAACAAGGTGCTGATTGGTCTATGAAATGAAAGAGTAAGGGGACGGTGAAGAAAATGATGTTCATCGGATGAGATGGTATTCATTGCTGGAGATGGAAGAAAAAAGTAGGGGAGGCGGACACATGGCATCATTTAATTGGTTTATTAAAACTCTCCTTTCAGTTAATAGATAGAAAGTCTAACATGGTCTTGTGTTAAATAAAGATAACGTAAAGGATTTAAACAAAGTTAGTGACAGGAACGAAATGCGTTATAAAATGCATATTACAAAGGCTTGAGGTGTTGTAGTGAGTAAACCATGGGGACCAAGAATGTAACTTACAGTTAGTCAGATAATCCTTAAAATAATTTTGAAAAGATTTGAATCAGTAAGACAGTGACATTTGAAAAACAAACCTATGAACTTATCCGTTGAACTACAATTGAACTTATTCGTCTAAAAATATGCGTATTTATTTTTCACAGTTAAAAAATAAAGTAAATACAATTTTAGTCCTCGAGGTTTAGTTGAAATTTCTAAAAATGGTATGTAATCTCTAATAAGTCTGAAAATTATCCTTGTGGCTTGCGTTTTGCTTTGACAATGTTTCCTAACACTAACTATGTTAGTTCAAGTGTCGTTAGTTTAGGGGGATTTCGATCATTATATCATTTCCTATTAAAAATGTCAGTGTACAAGTATATAAAATTTGTCTACATATGTAATTATCATTTAAAATACAAAAACATTATTTTCTCTTCCGCCCCTGCCCCCGCCCCCGCCCCCTCCTATGACTTCTACGCCCTTATCCCCATTTCAGGCGACTAATATCTTCGGTCATCTTCTCTGGTAAGAAAATCAAAGAGAAAAATCATCGGGACCAACTCAAGACACAAACCAAAAAAAAGGAAACCCTTCCTTCTACTTCGAATAATAGAAAACCAGAAACAAAACAAACCCATAAATAAAATCAAAAGTGAATTTAGAGTTTCTAGAGGTACTGACAGAGATCTAATAAAAGGATGGTCTACATGATGTTTTTGGAGATAACAAAACAAGTGTGTGAGATAGGTCACGATGTGGAGGTAAACATGGCGGTGGTAGCGAGTTAAGTGGAGGAGGGTGTCGCGGTGGGTTTGAGTTAATAGGAGTTTAGGTTGCTTGTGGGGGCAGGTGGGGGCTGCGAAGAGGGGTTCGCTGTGACTTCACTTGGTCGTGTTGACCTGTTCGTCCACATCCTTTTTGGACGTGTTGTATCACATGTGATCTTACTCTGTAATCACATGTGATCTTAGAACTTATTGCATTCTCGTAAGTTGACTGGCTTCTCCATGATCCTGCCTCTATACATGTAATATATAATATTAGATATTATATAGTATATCTTACATAATATCTTTTTTGAAAAGAAAGTTGATAAAAAAAAGTAAGAAGACCAAAGACCCCTAATTTAATAAATAATCTTTTACGCAACCAATGTCATAGATCATTTTCAGAGCAAAATGTAAACCACAAGAATTCTTTTAAGAGTTATAAAGGCCAGGTACCATTTTTAGAAATTTCACTAAACCTTATGGATTAGTAGAGTAGTTTACATAATATATATATATATATATATATATATATATGGTTTATTTCAAATACATATATATATATATATATATATATACACACACACACAAAAGCTTACAAATATAATAGTACAAATTGCATGAAAAAATAACGTACTTTAACTTGATTCCTATTTTGGGTAACGTACTTTCAAAACTTCCATTTTGGTACATAAGATGTAAAGTTTTAAACATTTAAGTACCCGGGTAACTCAGTGAAGACTAATTTTAGACTAAAAAAAGGACTAATTTTAGATTAAAAAAAATCCACGTCACTGACTAGGTCAACAAATAATACCGAGTTGGATACCACATCACTCGCCACATCAGTATGATAACCAGTTAATAATTCAACCAGTTACCTGAGTACTTAAATGTTTAAAACTTTACATCTTATGTACCAAAATAAAAGTTTTGAAAGTACGTTACCCAAAACAAGAATCAAGTTAAAGTACGTTATTTTTTCATGAAATTTGCCTAATATAATATTGGAGAAGTTCAAAATAACAAAACCAGCTTTCATATTTTAAATTATCAAGTCCTTTAATTATTTAACAAATAAATTTTTTTTTTCTTCATTTTATTAGTTCATTGTACTTTACTACTGATGTGTTGATTTATCGAAAGAGAAATTATATATTTCTTTTGTTTTATAAGTGTAAAGATTTATTCGTTTAAAAAATTATTCAAGTACTCAAATTCAATCGCTCAAAATATAAAAGTTTATTAGATTTTTTTTCGAATTTAATAAGTTCAAAAATTTATTTGTTCGATTTTAATATTTAAAATTTTATTTATTTTATTTCAAAAAGATTAAAATTTTATTTGTTAAAAAAATTTAAAATTTTATCACTTATTTAATTTCTTAATTTTTTTTTCATATAACATATGACTGTTACAGATATCAATAATGGATACAAATATTTGCTAAACAATAACATGTTATTAACTGTATTCATTTCATAACTGAAGATTTTTTTTATTAACATGTATATCCAATTCATTATACGAGCTGACTAATCCCAGGACGAATACTCATTTCACGGGTAGTCTAGAGTCACCGCATTTGAACCTCTGCGGTCATAACGAGATTTTTATTTCTTCTTGCATTCGAACCTGTGACCTCCAGACACTTTTAACCATCAATCGTCCTATGTGGTTAAAAATAAGAAACCTTTTAAAGGTTATTAAACCTTTTTATTTCTACTTTTAAAGATTTTTATTTCATATGATATAGTGTAAAATAAAATATAATTGTTTGATAATGGTTTACAATGAAATGATGACGTTTAATAGTTAAGGGAGACACATGATACAAATTATTCTGACGGTTCTAGAATCATTAAAAAACAGATTTTTTTTCAAACAAAATTCATCTTTTAATAATGAGATACTATTTTTTAAATTTTAATAAAACTATTAAAAGGTAAACAACAGCCTCTAAAACCTAAAATAAAAAGTTTAGTATTTTAATTAATTTTTGAAGTTGACACAAACTGGTTGTATGTAATTGGACATTTATTAACCATAGTTAATTTGCCTTTCAAATCCACGTCTATTCTCCACTACAAAACAAACCCCACACACACTCTCGTTTCTCGGGGTCTGCAATCTCTTTTTCCTTCGATTCGAAGAAATCCTCCAAAAGAAAAAGATATGAGCTGCCATGGCTGCCGAGTTTTACGAAAGCGATGTGACGATAGCTGCGTCTTAAGACCTTGTTTGGACTGGATCGATTCTCCAGAAGCAAAAGCCCGTGCTACGCTCTTCGTCTCCAAGTTCTTCGGCCGCACCGATCTCATAAATTTCATCTCCTCCGTCCCAATCCACAAACGAAACGGTATACGCTATATCCAAATCCACATCCTAATATCTATACAATTTTCATCATGATTTCTAATTGTTTCAGATTTTCGCATTTGATTTTTGCAGCTCTGTTCCAATCACTCTTGTTTGAAGCGGTTGGCCGCACTGTGAATCCGGTCAACGGAGCTATCGGACTCCTTTCCACCGGAAACTGGCACCTGTGTCAGGCCGCAGTGAGGACGGTGCTGGCCGGCGGTACGCCGACAGTTCTCAGCAACAGTTTTCATCATATTCCGGAAATTGACGGACGTTCTGGAGTCTCCGAAACAGGCGGCTCGTGGTCGGCAATGATGATCAGGAACCAGATACCTTCCGGCAAGTGTAGCATAACCAACGCGGCTCCATTGGCAAATMTCAAGGTTGCGTMATCTGCCGCCGGCGATGAACARAGKTTCTCGGCCTCCAACATATCAAAAGTATTGATGAGTTTTCGATGCAGCGACGGCGAAGAGCCAAAACTGTTGAACCTTCTTGTATAAGTAGTTGAGCTTACAACCTAAATAAAATCATCAATGGATCCGCCATCGTATCCAGGTGAATACTACTTCTTTTAGAATTAAAAATAATTAACAAAAATGTGGACACATAATCTTCTTCTTAATTTTTTGGTATGAGTTTTTGTAAATCGCTCCCCTTTGAAATTTGGAGTCGGTGATCGGCTACGGCCGACGGATGATCCTGTTTTCCGGCATGAGAGAATAATGAAGACGGCATGTTATCAGGTTATATCTACTTTCGTACCATCTTAGTGCACTTATTAAGAAAAACAATACTTGTAATTGATATTTTTCCTAACGTATGTTATTTTATCCAACTAATTACATAATCGGTTATGTAATCGCATCAAATCATTCCATCATATGAAAATTACTGTTTGTGTTTTTTTTTTTAAATCTTAACATACAAACCTAAGTTGGATGAAATAAAAGTCATCCAAACCAATTCTATCAAGCAAAACTTGTATCATCATTATAGTTTCAAAATATACCCAGTTCTATAAAATAAAATGATATAGTAGCACCTTTTATGATCCTATATATATATATATATATTTTTTATTATTAATTTGCATATCCAACTAATTATACGAGCCTACTAATCTCAGGAGGGCCACTGATTTGCAGATAGCTCGAAGTCATCGTATTTAAACCTCTGTGACTACAAAAGAATTTTTATTTTTCATTGGATTTAAACCTGGGACCTCCATGTACTTTTGACATTTGGAGCCAAAATCAAACCAATCAGACACTACCTTTGTGGTTATCTTTTACGACCCTTTTTTTTTAATTAACCTGGATATCCAACCCTATATTTTTTTTTCACATTTTGACGGAGAAACGAAACGGTAATCCGTGTCACCGTGTCTATTAAAGTGGGTTTGCGGCTCTTGCAAAGCGGTGATGACTTTGCTCAAATACAATACCTGTCATGGGTTCTATTTGAGTCGGCTCACCCAACTACTCTCGATGGCTAAGTGGGTCAAATAATACCTTTTATATTAGTATAGTTGAAGGTGGGTTCCATGTAAAAATGATTGGGATTCCAATTAATCAATTTTTCTTTTTAAAAAAAAGCAACAAAGCCTATAAATCAAAAATATATATTAAAATCAAGGATTTTTTATATATATAAAAAGTAGATTATGATTAATACAAATATTTTAATTTTTTATACAACTCAAAGTAGACGGTGCTATAGATGAAAAATTATTACCATAAGAAAAATTAGTTTTGTTAAAAGTAAGAAAAAGGGAATACCTATAGATTAACCATCTCATAACGGAAGTATTTTAATATATATTATATTATAAAGTATTTAATATAAATTTTTAAAATTAATTTTTCATACATTATATACTGTTTATTGATTTATATTATTTATATTTCAAGATTGCAGGTAAATTGTGTGTAAATATCCATACACCTTATAAATCAGATTTATCAAAAGTCTTAAAAACAATTTTTAATGCACAAAGTTTTAAAAGTCTTAAAAACGATTCATAATATATTAAATACTACTACTTTATGGATTCAGTCTTAAAATCTCTTAACATATAGTACAAGTTACCAATGGACATTTTTATCTTTTCTTTTTCTGTTTACAAGATACTTTTGACATCTTTCACTCATGCCTTCACCTTCTCATACCTCTATGTCTTCTCCCCATCCCCAAGGTGACAATCAAACTGATATTCATGAGTTATTAAAAGTTCTCTCATTCAATTGTTCTATAACTATCGGTCTCGCTCTCGATCTCTTGATTCTTTGCTCTTGGTGTAAATTGAACACATTTGTGGAGTCACTTAAATATGTTGGATTTTAAATATATTGGATTTTAAACTGTCATACAATTTTTTTATCGATAGACTCTAACTGGAACCATAACTCTTATTTACTCAAATTGTATTAATATATAAAAACCAAGTGTAACTTATATTATCGTTAAATCTTCTCTAATAAAACAATGAAACTTCAAAATCGTTAAAATTCATGGCTCCCGCCACATTGCATAGGTACACAACTAGTAACTTATTAAAGTTTAGTGTTTAAATTCGTATGACTAACTGCAGATAAACATAATTATCTCATTTTAAGTATAAAAAAATATAAAATATAATAAGGATAATCATTAACTTCTAAAAACTTGCAAAAAGTTATGTTATTAAAAGGAAAGTCTTATTAAATATAAATTAAGTTATAATAAAAAATTGAA